TTCATAAAAGATGTCTGCTCAATTATTGTCTTCAAGTAATATTTTTCAACAGAGTCTGTTTTAGAAAAAAAAACTACAAATTTACAAATTCTTTCCGAGAAGAATCAATATTGTATGAAAATCTTTCTGAAAATATTTAATTACTGTTTTTATACAAAATACGGAAAGTGGTTGACTGAATGAAGTTCGAACAAAGCATCATCGTTCTGATCAATGGATCTACAATAATCAAGTTTTATGATTGTTTTTCTTTTGTTATACTAGATATCGTATGAATGCTAGAAAATGGTAAGAATCCGCTTATTTCAATACATTTGTTTTTTTTTGCCATGTGAGTCTTAGTCAATGATTACTATCATATTTGATTACTTACTTGTGTCTTGTACGGACGATGAAAAGAAAATGTTTGGTTATCAAATTCATCACGTAAAAATGTCAAGAACGAAAATGAATAACGCTAGAGAAATCAATGGAATACCTGTAAAGAGAGCAAGTATATGAAAGGAGAAAACGCAATTATAAAATATACATACGTTGATAGTGTATACTTTTTTTCTGTCCTACATCAAAAAGTAATGCAACGAGATTGGTGAACTGACACAATAAAAACAATTTTTTGAATCTATTCGTAGTAAAGTATGAAGAACGGTTCTACATTTGCTAATATTTAACAAAAATCTGTTTTAAGAATACCAACTTTATCTGATCAAACATTCATTTTTTATGTTTTGTAAGGCAAGTATAATTCTCTGTATCTATTGTGCACATTCAAAGAAAAATCGATAAGTGCAATTTTCTACATGTTTTTTCTTGAACTCAAGTATTAAGCTAACAAAATGAATTTGTTTTCTTCTTTTTTGTTGTGTAGTACAACCATTTGGACTTAATACTTTTTTATTAGCTATTTCGATTTAATCAGATAGCATGTTGTTTTTCTTTCTTGAGCCTAGTGCAACTACGAAGCTTGGCAGATTTCATAATATTAGCTCGATCCGATAATCTACTTAGATTTACTTCTAGTTGTTAGGTAAAAAAATTGACCCTGCAAAAACCTGATATGCATTTTTATTATTTTACTCATTGACATCTGTCTGTGCTGAAAATTTTGCAGACGGATTTTTATATGTTTGTAAAGAAAAATGAACTTCGACTATACACACTCAATAAAAATATGTCCTATGTGTGACACTTTCCGATTCAATGTCCCATACTCGATCATGTCAAAAACCTCTTTGAGAAAGTACATTTCATCTAGCAGGGTGTGGGTACGGGTGTGAGAAGGGATTTGAAGAAACACCTAGACACAGACCCACACTTACACTGAAAAGAAGATTTCACAATAGTAGATATTTATATAGATTAGAATCAAGCTCAAAGCCCAATGAATCATTACAACTCAAAATGCGTATACAAATATCAGTATATTCTTATCCCCAACAACACGAAATGCAAGGTTAAGTAAAAGAAAGAGAAAGAAGGTATGAAGAACGAAATACATGTGATGAAGAGTAGAGGAATGAAAAAAATGCCTACCTGATGAAAAAGCTATACGTTATTGATTCATGTAACCATAGGTTTGTCGGAAAAAACCAAGTAATGTTGTCAATGATAAATACAGAGCAAATTTGATTGTGAGCACGTAAAGCAAAGTTTGTATACTCCAGTATCATCTACCACGTAAGTATATATTATTTCCAACATTATTCAACTAGTGATAAAATTAATGTTGAAAGTAATAAGTAGCTACAAACAAGAAAAAAACGACTAGACATACATATGGGGCATTTTGATGACCATGAAATAATTCTAAGAGAGCTTCGCTTGATGATACTCAGAGTATGCAATCGATTATCTTTATTGAAGTACCACTTATAAATAGAGCAGTCTTACTGTAGACCACGTTAAACAGAGTAAGTTTTTGTGTGTGTGCATTTCACCGAATGTATCAATAGTGGATGACAAAGTTTTCACTTTTAAAAAAATGCGACATAGCAGGGAATTTAAGAACTTTTAGTAGAATGCTTTCAATGGTATAGAAGCGTCAACAAATTAACCTATTTGAATCTCGATGCACTCAACTAAAACGTACGGTTTGCAAATGAAAGCAACAAATCCTTACTGACAGAATACGATGAAATCAGAGATGTCCATCGCGGCGCTGCCGCTGCCGCGATGGCGGTGGCGGCACGGCAGCGGCAGGTTTTTTAAAAAATCACCGCGGCAGCGGCAGATTTTTTAAAAAGTCATCGCGGCAGCGGCACGGTAGCGGTAGGTTTTTTAAAAAACCATCGCGGCAGCGGCAGGATTTTTTTTGGAGGACATTGAAAAACTGTATGAATTTAATAGAATTTCAGGATTTACAAATGAAACGCCCTGATATTGAATAAATCTGATGGACTAGTACCCATATCTCTGGTCAAATATAGTCACAGCAGTGAAATTAGAAACACTTTTTTGAAAACCGTCGCGGCAGCGTTGCGGTGGCGGCACGTTTATTTTATAATTCATCGCGGCAGCGGCGCGGCAGCGTTTCTTTTATAAGTCATCGTGGTGCGGCAGCGTCGCGGCAACATTTTTTTATAAACCGTCGCGGCGCGGCAGCTTTTTTTTTCTAAGGCCGCGGCGCGGCAGCGGCAGATTTTCAGCCGCGATGGACATCTCTGGATGAAATTCTAGACATATCAGAAGACTTCCCTTTGATAAATATAGAAAAAGACATATTAGAAGGCCCCCATCAGAAAATCGACTTTTGTTTGAAAAATAATTTCTAGAGGCTAGTGACTTTTTAGAATTTAAATCCATAATGATGTCTAAGTTCAGTATGAACAATATTTTACTTTCGTCGTGATTACGATGTATCAGCTCCGAGTTAGAAAAATCATGAGAAACAGCTAATAGGAAATAGTTGTTTACAAAATAATAGGTTTTTTTTTTTGAAAACATAGCATGGAGCCATTTTAGTCTTTCTTTGCAGCTTATTCTGGAAAGGTTCGTTAATTTCTATATGTGGAAAAATCTTGCTATAACCATACGATCTAGTGGGCTGAGTCCACAGTCACAGGTGTAGTACATGAAAAGATCTTTTATAAAATAGTAAAATATTAGATAAAATTTCGTTTTCTATTGATAACAAAATCTTCTTCGCCTTTGAATTTCTCCTAGAAGCTCAAAAAAGTCTTTATTCTAAAACAGATTTTCATAATTGAACAAAAAATAACTTCACATGTACACGTTGGAGTTTTTCTGTGAATACTTATCAGTCTGAGAATGCATTTCTTTTTTTCAATACGATTCAAAGACCTTTTTCGAAACAGACACAAAATAAAACACAGAATGTGTATTCAACTGCTGCTTTTCTACAAACTGTTTCTTCATAAGACAATCGTATTCATCGAAGTTAGTTTACCACCAATAACTACGTTTGTAGTAGAGGATGTGGGTGTGGACGTGGATGGGTGTGGGTGTGGGTGTAGATCATTTCACCACACCCATACCCACCCAGACTCACCCAGACACATTCACACCCCACACCTACACCACGCCCCACCCATACCGCACACCTTCCACACCCACACCACACACCCTAGTTTAAATAGCACACATTTTAATATGCAAATCTAAAAGAAAATCAGAATGGGCAATCAGCCTCAGACAACCTGAATAGCACGCAACATTCTTTCGTCTTGAGCAAAGTTGCTTTTATTATTATATTCTAGCCGATCGTTTCAAAAATGCTCATTCGTACGGTTTTCATACGTTCAGCGTATGAGCTATTTGAAATGTGTACATGACTCATACGAACATTCAAGTGCTTGTCGATGGCAAAAAAGTCATATGCTAGGGACAAATCTTGAGGTCTACGCATATCGAGAACGTGGGAAAAGTTCGCTTCTATATATTGTTCTGGCATTAGTGTACATCTTCTCTTCATTAACGCCAGAACCGCTTTAGACTGGTCTTGACTACCACTGGAAACATTTCAGGCTAGTCGAGGCACTTGTTCTCGACCGGTATTTGTTGTAGATATGGCTAAATGTTTAAGACGTTGAGCACATACTCACACGGTAGTGTGTCCGAAACTCAGCTCCATCAGTCAAAAAATGACCTTGGATAAGTCACTAACGGCTTCTTTGTCTCGGATCATCCATTCGATAATAAACTGACTACGTGGTTAAGATACATTGAAAGCCCTTGTAGCTATTATGCGGTTAGTTATTATGCACGGGGAGCTTAAATGATTAAGCGGAAGAACTCTGCGTCAGGCCAGCCTTCTGTACAGAGCTACATTTAGTAATAGATGTAGGAAAAATATAGGGCTCCTGAAACTGTTTTCGAACAGCACCCTACACTGCAAGGTAGCCTACAAGCAGAGTATTATTCTTTTTCTTTAGCATTTAATTGTCTAGCAAATGAACGAGTGTCTTTCTGCTATTTGGACTGTTAAAGCTAACATCAGTCTATTGGTAAAACATGGTCTGGTGTAAGAAGACCCATCAACTGTTGAGAACTATCAGATTAGATCTGTGAGTTCATTTCTTGTCTGTACTTTTTATTGTTTTTTATTTTACAAGCTAGTCTAGACAGATTAGATAGACAAAAGGACTAGGCATGACGAGGTTTAAGAATATTCTATAATAGTGCAGACGTGGTCGCAGGACGTTTTTTGTCAGAGTAACTAGTCATGGTAGGTATGAAATACGTTTCAGACTGAGAACTAACGGGCGTTGCAGACATTTTCGGCTGCCAATGTCACCCTTTCTTGCTAATTTTTTGCTTACTTAGATATTCTTCTTTGCTTCTTGCTTGGTTTACAGCGGCGCCACCTATTCGTCAGCGTCTTTTCGTTAGCAGCATTCTTGAGATAAACGAACGATAGAGCGAAGAAGCTTTTAAAGTCGATAGCGACCCTCCAGAATAAGGCCTCAACAAAAAGATTAAACAATTGTATGCCAATATAGGACAATAAGGTCTCGCTTATTGCATTCATTCGTTCACCCATCATGGTAAATCAAACACTGACAACAATTGCTGCTAGTGGGACAGTAGCGATAAACACTACCACAGCCGATAGTACTGCGGTACTGCCACGACCTGTGCGTCGAGTTCTTCAAAACTTTCTTCTTGTATGGCTTGATGCAAATATTGATGAATCCAACGAAAATTTCAAGAAACCTTTGCAATGTCTACGACGTATTGTATCAACAATCACAACATTTACAGACGTTGACGAGTGTATTGATTTTCTCAGTGGCATTCAAAATGAAAAAGTATTTATGATCGTAGCTGGTGTACTCGGACGGCAAATAATACCAGATATTGAAGCATGCCCACAATTAGAATCGATTTATGTTTTCTGTGATAACCAATCGATTAATGAACAATGGACCAAAACAGTCCCTAAGGTAAAAGGTGTATACACACAAATCGAACCGATTTGTGAAGCATTACGAATTGACCGTGAAAATTGTGATCGAGCTATGATCTCGATTAGTTTTAATGGTATTGATGCGTTGTTTATGTATACACAATTGTTAAAAGAAACACTTTTGGACATTGAAGACGACGATGCAAAATCTATTAGAGAATTTGTTGACTACTGTCGTCTTCAAGGTGATATTGATGAAAATCATATTGATAAGTTCGAACGAGAATATCGTCTTCATACACCCATTTGGTGGTACACGGGTCCATATTTTATCTACTCGATGCTCAATCGTGCTTTACGATTAATGGACGTCGATATTATACTCAAAATGGGGTTCTTTATTCGACATTTACATCAACATATTGAGACTCTACATCGTGAACAACAATCCACTAACACAATGACGAGTACTTTATTTCAAGTTTTTCGAGGTCAAGGTTTATCAATCGAAAACTTTGAAAAAATGAAACGAACAAAAGGTGGATTGATGTCTTTCAACAATTTTCTTTCAACAAGTTGCAACAGAAATGTTTCTCTCGAAGTGTTTGCACGACCGGCGGCATTCGCTGGTCCTCATTCAGTTGGCATACTCTTTGTTATGACCATCAATGCAACATCATGCAAAAAATCATCAATTGCTTTTGTCGACGTTAACAAACATGGGTACTACAAAGATCAAGAAGAAGAAATTCTTTTTTCAACACACACCATTTTTCGTATCGATCGAATGGAACAAATCAACGACTATCATACTGATCGGCTATGGGAAGTTAATCTTACCCTTACAGGTAATGAGGACCACTATCTTACCACACTTACAGCACATATACGCAATGAAATCTCTTCGAGCGCAACACGAGGATGGTCCAGACTAGGTTTGATACTTATTCGATTGGGTGAGTCTGCAAAAGCAGAACTACTCTATAATATCCTCCTCGAAGAATCATCTTCCGACAACGATCGCGCAGAATATTATCTTCAACTTGGTACCATCTATTCAGAGATGGGTGAGTATTCGAAAGCACTTTCATCCTACGAACGATTCCTTCAAATAAAAAACAAAACTTTCCCTTCACATCACCCCGACTTGGCTGCCTCCTATAACAACATCGGTGCAGTGTATTCTAACATGGGGGAGTACTCGAAAGC